TTTGGTTTCCTTTCGGTGAAATTTCACACCTAAATAATTAAACTCTGTAATCCTTTTTTCCACCTTACCGTCCTTTCTGGGATAACTGTGGTTTTTTTCTAAACAGCTTTCACCAATCTTTGTCATGAATCGCTTGATAACTGCTCTTGCTTCTATGTAAATTTGCTCCTGTATGACCTAGGTTACGACAGCATTTCTTGAAGACAAATATTTTGAAGATAGATCGCCTTCAAGAACTGGGCGAGCTCAAAATGAAAGCTGTTAGTTGTAAGATGTGAACGTCGACAATATTTCAACCGGAATTAGCAACGTCTGGTGCTTAATCTTACAGTGATCACAACGAAAAACTATATCCATCAGATGGAAAGTGAGATATGTTCATTGAATTTATCAGCTGACACCTCATGATGATATAAACGTGCCAACTCATCATTATTCTGCCATAAAACTCTCGGATGAATTTAATGAATCTCACATACAATAACATTCACGATATAAATATGGCTTTATTTGGCGAATCTAACCGAGTTAAAGTACCAAAAAGCTCAAACAAACCGTAAATTAGACAAGACAGAACTGTGGATGGAACAGCATCCACTGTGAATAACAGAAATGACGAAATGGAACATATCCTCACATTAGTGAACGACTTTTACTTACGAATGTTAAATTTCTAGTCTCCTTCATTTTTACATACTTTTGGTAGTTAAAAAAAGAAAATTTGGACTGAATTTAGATGGCTTTACTAAACCCTCAGTGGGATATGGCAATATAGTATCCTCTATCACGGCTCTACATTGATGATATTGAAAAGCATTTACTACAGAAACGCGAATCGTTGGGTAGTTTTTAATTCAAAATCTACCACGAAAGTCAAAATGAATATGACCTACATGTACCTTAAAAAGGTTGTTTGAAATACTTATAAAACTATATAAATGGATGCAAAATATGTGAAACACTGTTTGATACCTATCCCTAACATTAATGCTGGTAGTATTGAAGTCATTACCATACTCATTTGGAGTACTTAAGTCTTGATATTCCTTTAAGTGATGTTGTTGAAGTAGCTCCACAAAAGTTCTCAAAAATTTCAACTTTTCTTATGCATTAGACGTGTCACTTAAACATATTTCACCGAGCTGCCTTTTCGATATTCTACCTGCTTTCAAATACAGACTTTCGTGTAGGGACTAGACGATATCAACCTCAGCTTTGACCGGCAGAACCACAGATTTGTTCGACTGTTACTGAAGACACCCGACTGTTATTGAAGGGAAAGTAAAATGTCTGCTAACGTTAACGAGGAGTTAATTGCCAACTGATATTTACATTGGTAATCATACACCTCTAGTGGAAATTGAAGACCCGATAAAACTGTCACCGTTCCAAATAGTCCCGGGGTGGTTGTCCTGAGTGATGATAAAAGGACTTCAGTACAGAGAAAAAGAAAGGAGAAGAAAAAAGCTGTGGGCAAAACACAACTGGTTAGCAAGTCATCGGGAGAGACGGTATCAGAAACAAAAACTCCACTTCGTGTCAAGACAGATCTCTCTGATAGGTCAGTCATTTTTTATAAGTTAAGAGAATCTTCCGATAAGGAACCAAAGGCTAGATTTGAACACGATCTCAGTCATATTAAGTCCTTAATAAGTAAACTACTCCCAGATACAGTTTCAGGAGTTAGTATTTGTAAGCTTTACAAAATAGGACAAAAGGTGGATTCTGAAAGTCCTCAGAAAAGCCGCCTCTTGAAAGTAACATTTGCCACGGTTGAAGAAATGAACCTGATTCTAGGTAACTCACGTAAACTGATGGGATCCGGAATATACGTCCGTGAGGATCTCAGCCTAGCTGATCGTATTAAGAGATGAAGTGCAGAAGTGTAAATAAATGAGCGCCATCGAAACAGTGAAAGAAAACTCGTTCTTAAGGGTTTTCAAATTGTAAAAGTTCGGAGCAAAACGATCCTCAAACCACTCTGGGTGGTAAGGGAAGGTTGTGCACAGACTTAACGGTATGCTACACAAATGCTTGCAGCCTACTAAATAAAATGGCGGAGCTTAGGTCATTGGTGGATAAAGAAAAACCGGACGTTATTGCTGTCTCGGAAACTTGATTAACGTCAGAAGTATTAGGTAGTGAAATCCACTTGACTGGCTTTTTAAGCAATAGGGCTGATTGCTTAAACTGTAGGGGAGGCGGGGTTATCCTATACACAAAAAGTACCCTAACCGTAAGATTAGCTGAGACAGTAGCACATGTTTCAGGGACATGTGAACTGGTGAGATGTAATTTGAAATGCCGACGGCAAGATATTGAAGTAGTTGTAGTATATCGCAGTCCAGAATGTGTAGCAGATGATTTTATCTTAAGTACACTTAAGTCCTGGTGTAACAACGGGAAAAGTCTTGTACTAGGCGACTTTAATGCACCCCATATAAACTGGGTTAACTTAGAATTAGGGTCATCGATATCGTCGTTCGACTGCAAACTGTTAGAAACCTCGATTGGACTAGCATTATTCCAACACATTAGAGGTCTCATCAGATATGACTTACGAAGCTCCTCGTCTCTCTTGTATTTAGTCTTCACACACGGTGATGATGTCGGCCAAATGACTCTCCTCCCACCTCTGGAGAGATGCGATCATGCGGTCATCTTATTCAAGTTCATCGCTGACATGGCCTGTCAAACAGTTGCGCCGTCCCGTCCTAACATATGGAAGGCAGATATGCAGGCAATTAACTCCGCAGCATCGGCTGAGAACTGGGAAATTGACTCAAAGGCATCAGTACAAGAGGCATGGACTCTATTCAGGCAGTTATACAATCGGGTAACTCAACCATACATACCCTGGACTGTCCCAAAGAAAAAGAAGCACGGACATCCCTGGATAGGGCGGGATATTCGACGCTTACTAAGACAAAAGAAGAAATGCTGGGATGTTGCCATCCGCCTTGGCACAGCAGGTACGATGGAACGCTACAGATCGATAAGAAACGAGTGTATAACTAAAATTCGGGAAGCGCAAAGAAAATATGAAATGCAGCTGGCAGAATCTGCACTCAAGCAGCCCAAGAGGATATTCTCGTACATAAACTACAGAACAAGGATTCATCATTGGATTCCCAACCTAATTAAAGTAGGAAGTGAATCTGAAATGATAGAGGAAGATCAGGAAAAAGCAGAGGTTATGGCTGACTATTTTGGGGCAGTTTTCACTCAGGAACCTCCTCTAGAGAAAGAACCAGACCCAATTACAGAGTCAACAAACCAGCTGCTCACCGTGGACTTCGACCAAAACGATGTGCTTAAGGCTCTTAGCACCCTAAACATGGAGAAGTCAACAGGACCAGATGAACTACACCCTAAAATCTTGAGACATATTGCCCAATATATCGCAGCCCCACTGACTGTGATATTCAAAATGTCACTTGACCAAGGTGTGTTACCTATGGACTGGAAGGACGCAATCGTCACTCCCATACATAAAACAGGTCCACGACAAGTTCCATCAAATTACAGACCCGTAAGCCTCACCAGTGTTGTAATTAAAATACTGGAAAGAATAATCAAACGGACCATAACAGCATTTATGGAAACCAATAACTTGCTGAACATGGCACAACATGGTTTTAGAAAGGGTCTATCCTGTACAACGAACCTCCTTATAGCTAGGGAGCTCTGGATTAATGCGCTAGACAACGGAAACTCAGTGGATGTTGTCTACATAGACTTCAGTAAGGCTTTTGACAAGGTGCCAACTAATAGACTGCTATTGAAGTTGGAAAACCTTGGTATTGCCGGACCTCTTTTAAAATGGATTAAGGATTTCCTAGTAGGTCGTAGGCAAAAAGTAAGAATAAATTCCAAGTGCTCCATCTGGAGACCAGTACTTAGTGGAGTACCCCAAGGTTCCGTCTTAGGTCCTTTACTTTTTATAATGTACGTTAATGATCTTACAAGTATAGTACAGTCTCCAATGTTATTATACGCTGACGATGTAAAAATTTGGCGAGTAATAACTGGAGACAAAGACGCATTTACTCTTCAGGCGGACTTAAATAATATGATAAACTGGTCTAAAGAGTGGCTAATGCCTATCAACTCGGAAAAGTGTGTCTACATGCACTTGGGGGATTCAAAGGTTAATACGTACAACATAGGGGATGTGTCATTACCCGTAGTCCGGTCTCATAAGGACCTAGGGGTGACAGTGAGTAATGATCTTAAGACGACGGCCCATTGCCGGGAGGTCGCAGTTAAGGGGTTTCGAACCCTCTGGGCTTTAAAAAGGACATTCACTAAGTTAGATACTACCATGTTCACCACATTATACACATCCTTAGTGAGAACTAAGTTAGAGAACTGTGTTCAGGCTGCAAGCCCCTGTTTAAAAGGTGACTCGGACATTCTAGAAAAAGTACAGAGGGCAGCTACCCGTGCAATTCCGGAACTCCGGTGTTTACCATAAAAAGAGCGGCTTGAAAAACTGGACCTCTTTACTCTGTCCTATCGCAGACTAAGGGGAGATCTAATTTTGATGTACAGAATACTGAGAAATGATTTCGGACCTAACTTATTCTCTCTTTTTCTTCCCACTAGATCGGGACACCTCAGAGGACATAGCAGGCGAGTAGAAAAGCCAAGAACGAACAAAATACCCGCGTAATACAGGTTTTAACAACAAGTCATCAATACTTGGAACCTGCTTTTCGAAGCAATGGTATCCACAACTTCAATTGACTCTTTTAAGAGGAGACTGTACACTCACAGAAGCATGCTAGAAAAGGAATAACATAGTCCGTATACCTTCTGTCCTTACTACACAAATCTGAATCTATATCTCCACGTAGTTAGCGTGGACGCAGTCGAGATACTGGAATATCTATCTACAATCATTGAGTATACATCACAACAGAGCAAATAATTTTGTTCATAAAGAATTAAGACTGCATTTGTTTTGTTGAGTCAACGTATGGAAAATTTATGTTACTGTCTTTTTGAGTCAAAAGCGCGAGCGGGACATCTGGTTTTGTACATACGGAAGCACTGTATAAACTAGTCGATGTTTTAGAATTATGGGTGATAATAAAAGAGTATCTTATAGTCCGATGAACGCAGAACTTCTCCGTGATGAGAAAGAGCCTTTGCGGGAGGCAGATTTATCTTCTAAGGATATGGTGTGGGTTCCTCATGAACGAGAAGCATTTGTCGCTGCTATTAAGCTTCAAGAACAAGGAGAAAACGTTGTAGTACAGCTCGTAGAGTCAGGAAAGAAATGTACGTTTCCTAAGGATTATGTTCAAAGAATGAACCCTGCAAAATACGACAAGATAAAGGATATGGCAAACCTATCGTTTATGAATGAAGCATCAGTCTTGAATAACTTAAAGACGAGATATTATTCAGGAATGATCTATGTAAGTCATTGGATTGTTTCTCATAACAATATAGACATACTCCGGATTGTTTTGTGTGGTTGTTAACCCATACAAACGATTACCGATCTATGACGAAGAGATAGTAGAGTGGTATAAAGGAAAAAAGCGCCATGAAAGACCACCACATATATTCGCTATTGCTGATGGAGCTTACCGTAGCATGCTTCAAGGTAATCATGTGTAATTTGAGTTATGTGTGTTACAGACCGTGAGGATCAGTCGATTTTGTGCACGTAAGTGTGTTGTTTACTTTTACTGGATCTTGTAGCGGTGAATCAGGATCTGGAAAGACCGAAAATACGAAAAAGGTAATACAATACCTTGCATGTGTTGCCACGTCTGCAAAACATCAAAAAACATCAGCCAAAAATGTAATGTCAAAGTTTAACGTAAGTACTTTTTCAACCTATTCTGACAAATTTAATATTTGGACACATGCTTTATAAACATGATAATAAGTTATTCCGTATAGGCTCTTAAATTTCTATTTTCAAAACATGTGGACCAGTTTTTCGTCATATCTCATATCTTATTTGCCTTTTCTGATCCCTAATTTTATGGGGTCGAAATCTCAGCCGATGTGTGTAATAAAAGAGATAACTTGCAATCATTCCATGGTTTGATTCACATGCGGTTATAGTTACTTTTGAGCACCCAGATCGTTTGCTAAACTCTATAGACATTTAGATTTATATGTTTAGGTTCATGCGACTCGTATAACCTTCAACCACAAATTTTTGTCTCATATCAGCGTCTATTCATCTATTATTCCGTAACTGGGAAGAGCAACGTAAAATTCAAAGCTTACATTACAACTTAATTGAGTAAACACATAGGTACTACTATGTAACGAGAACACCTTTGTTAATCGATATCAACACAAAGGTTAGGAATAGTAGTTTCGAATAAATTGACACTGGGTAGAAAGTTAATAATGACAATATAATTATATTATTACCTCCATCAATATGCTTTTCAACATGTTCCTCAGCTTCTGAACTGTAATATTGCATAGTTTTGCTCAATATCCAATGCCTAATTTACCAGCAATTCTGTTACATGATTTACAACTGAATAATGAGTTACAATTAATAATGTGATTGGATCCTGTTCAAAACTCGATAGTATTATTTTAATCTGGCTTTTAATTTAATTTTTAGACGAAAGATTTCAGTATTGTAAGTTTACCGTTGCTTTATGTACACGATGAGTCTTTCACAAATTCCTTATGCACTTGATTTTACTGTTTATGATGAATGGTGATCCTTAAAGGTTCTTTTTTTTCAAAATTATTTTTGAGAATCCGTGTCACAATGATTACTGGTCATTAACGTAAACCTGTTATCTAATTATTTTTTATTGGTGAAGGTTATGGTGTTTGATACCTGTTTACATTTCATCTCACTTCTATACATTGTCTTCATCTTACAGGGTGAACTTGAAGCACAACTTTTGAAGGCAAATCCCATTCTTGAAGCCTTTGGAAATGCCAAAACAATTAAAAATGATAATTCTTCACGTTTTGTAAGTGAATCATTTCTTCAAAACATTCTTTGTCAACTGGCCGGAAACCGCACCTAATTTTAGGATTTTGTCTTCTGTTGTAGAGCCACTATTATAAATCAACGTATATGATGATTACGCTTAATATTTTAGTTATAAATGATTGTATTTTCCAAATGTTGAACGATCACACTCGCTGACATGCAACCAGTTCTCGTTATCGCTCCACTGTTTGTTGTGCACACTTTTTTGTGGTCTGTCAAATTCTTGTTTACACTCCTATTCATTTATCAATCGCCCCGTACTTTCGGTCTAATGCTTCTCCAAGAGGAAAACGTTTGCACGGTGAACTTAGCCCCATCAACACAAAATCTACTATATATCGTTTGACAAAACATGAGAAGTAAAAATCCTTAATTGCTGATTATCCAAGCCCTTTCCTATGAATTAGCTAGCTCATTAGCTCAAGTAATTTAATAAAATACTTTTAGGTGAGACAAACAGAATTTGACCTATTCGAAGATAAGAAGTCTTCGTGCGTGAACCACTGAGTAAGAAATACCTGGGTTAGAAATAAAGTACTAGGTAGGGATAGCATTTCAATGATTAAGTAGTGAATCTTCATCTACTGAGGTGTTTGGGACATGTCACTTATTCCTAACCATCACCTTTCTCGACGGGCAGTGTCTGATGTGGAAGTAAACTATAAGAAAGCTAGGGGCGGCCAAGCCAAGATATGACATGAAATCATCGACAGTTGGAGTGAGCCATGTTAATAGGTGTAAACTACCTGGTTGAGGTCTGCGTGATTGTCGTAACCAATGGTTAGAGACCTTAAATGACATGGCTCAAAGTAGCTTGGAATGGCTCATGTGCATCCATTATTTGTCTTCCCCCAAATATTGAGATTCTAAATTCTTCATAGCGTTTTTTGTGTTTCTGTTTTACTAATTTACATTCACATGAGTGCTTAATTTATTCTATTGCCATTCATACTGTTACTACCTCTACTGTTGTGAGGTTTGGCCTGACAGTTTCACCTCTGCTGATGGAGTATGGCATCTTGAACTGACGTACATACATGACAGGTTTTAACGTTGTGACTGAATTTTCGTGTTTATTAGTTTACTGGGTTACAATAAGTGCAAGAAAATCATCTTAATGTTACCACTACAAGTGTTCGATAATTATCTCAATGACTACTATGCTACAAGTTATGTTGTAGTCTTTTACTTTATGTATCATTTTCCATCTGATATTTAAATAAATAACTAATAATTTCTTTTGTAGGGTAAATTTATTCGTATTAATTTTGACACATCTGGATTCATTGCTGGAGCTAATATTGAAACATGTATCCCTTTTAAAATTGGTTCTTGTGTACGTACGGCTTTTGCTTTTAAGTTTTTTTTCATTCGGTCAATTAAATAATGTATTATAAATATGGAACTTGTGTGTTAATTTAAGTGTCATGGTACACATAATAAACCAATTTAAACACAATTGCCTTGAGGTTGCACCTTCATTCAGACCCCTACATAATGTAAATAATCCCCCATATATCTTGAGCTCCTGACATCCAAATCACAGAAATTATGCATTACTTGTATTTATAGTTAGTCTAACAAAACACGTATCCTCTCTGACCATTGAACAAGATTCATCATTTCATGTTTTTTTCACTTAAGAATAACAAAGAAATCAACATTGATGGAATATATACGTAGTTAAAAAATATATGTATCAAAGAAAAAAATTAGACGACAATCGCTAAAAACTCTAGGTTTGAGGGATAAAAAAATGAGTATATTTGTGTCATTAGAATTTATTTCAAGCAATCATCTTGAGTTGTGAACCACATATCTATGCTATCTTTTTGAACCTGCGTGAGGTTACTTCGTTTCATTAACTGGTGCCATCTTCATATTTGACCGCTTTTTTGATTTTTATTTTAAGTCATATGCGGAGATTGTTAATTCCTTATCATAGTATAGATCTTTTAGAGAAAGCTCGTGTTATTCGTCAGGCAGTGGATGAACGCAGCTTCCACATATTTTATCAGCTTTTGGCATCAGCTACTCCCGCAATGCAACAACAACTATTATTAAATCATGCTAGTGCTTATCGTTTCCTTTCAAATGGTATGATCGAACTCCCGGGGATCGATGAGCAACAATTTTTCCGTGAAACAACTGAAGCCATGGATATAATGGGAATTAATAACGAGGACCAAAATGGTACGTTTAATGTAGTTAACTTAGATATTTTACTTGTTTCTGCAAATAAAATGTTGATATCTTGTCGAGTAAACTTATTTACTTTACACCTTCCAAATTCATTGGTTGTCAAATACTTTATCCTTCTTATAATTTGTTATTTTAGCCATATTCCGCGTGATATCTGCTGTACTTCATCTAGGAAACTTAGAATTTCGTCAGGAACGAAGTTCTGACCAAGCAACTTTACCAGATCATTCAGGTTAGTGTTTGGAAATGCGTTATGCTCTATTACACTGGGTTAGTTGTATAATGTTTGTCAACTTTTGATTTACTGCTTGATATCCATACTCACGTCATATTCCATGGGTTAATATTCATATTTCAGTTTCGTGTACATAATGTTGCTTAAAATGGCTTAAAGTACATAAAGACAAGGTTTACGGTTTTTTTAGTCACGGTTATCAGTTTGTGATCATATCTTCAAATGAAACATGTTCATAAACATTGAAATTATTATTACTTTATTGAATCAGATATTACACCATACCAAATCACAATTTTTTTATGTTACGATTACTGATGTGGTACACAGCAATTTCGCTAAAATATTTTACCAGCTTTTTTAATAGCATTAAGTACATACTGTTATTAAGTATCATAGTTTCATACATCACTTATATGTTAATTACGTTCGTATTTTAACACGATATCACAGGCGTCAGCTCTTGGTATTAATATGTTGACCGGATTATTCCGATTATTATCTAAGCACACAAAGTATGTGTATAGCATCATAAAGAAAATTTAGTAAATTTGTAGAAAAAAGAAAAAAGTCGTTGACAAAGCAGTGTATAATAAGATGGACACCAGTTAACAATACAGTTCGGTTTAAAAAATGCAACCAAGAATAGTTCTTTCAGTTAAAGAAGTTCCTCTCATATTTATGAAGATTGTAAAGGATAACTGCGGCAAAATCCCATCGGCTTCTGTTTTGACCCATGTGTGATAACGCCCGGAGCTACTGAGTTGACCGGATCATCTATCCTTTGGCCAGGATTCGAAATATAGATATACTTATCCCACTTTCTGATTGTAGCTATATCTCTTGATTTCAGTCGGCATGCTATCACACTAATCAACAAGTTTTATGAGAGTTCCTGTCATTGGAATTCGTGCTAATAAAGCACACTAACCTACTGGATTCTCTTTGCCCGAATACTATTAGTCAGGTTAGAGCTTACGGCGAACCATCTTCTGAAATTTGAATACGTTAAATAATGTCCACTAAAGTCCTAGAATAATAACTGATCTAAAAAATGTTGTGTATTTATTTATTCGTGGTTTCTGTTCAGCAGTTGTAAACGATACTTCAAAGTTTTTGTTCACAGGTTAACTCTTGACCATTTGCTATAAATAGGGTAAATCATTTTAGATGCCAGTTTACAATTAGATCATAATTGTACCACTGCAAACATAAGCTCTGGAAGTAGCAGTTGAGCACTCTAAAAGTTTTTAGTGGGACTACTTTATTCTTTTCAGTTGATATTATTATAGAAGCCGAATGTTATCAGAAGTTTATGGTATCTGATTTCTTTTTTATGGAATTTATCAATAGTAACGATTTCAATTCATTACCATACTTTACAGTTGTAAAATTTTAATCTACCCCAATGTTTTATTCGTATAACAATTAACACGTACCTTAATACCTTCCCTAGTCGCTGAAAAGGTATCCCATCTTCTGGGTATCCCTCTGAATGAAATGGTCAAAGCGTTTTTGAAACCGCGCATCAAAGTTGGGAAAGATCTGGTATCAAAAGCTCAAACCAAGACGCAAGTGGAATTCGCTGTTGAAGCTATTTCAAAATCTATCTACGAAAGGCTCTTTCTTTGGTTAGTCGCACGAATAAATAAAACACTTGACAAAACTAGACGACCGGGTGCATCATTTGTCGGGATTCTCGATATAGCTGGTTTCGAAATCTTCCAAGTGAGTTGATATTTTGTAACAGTTTAGTATCATCTCCGTGCCTTTTGTACTTTGAAGTACTTGAGTTATCTAACTGGACCAATTATTGATAGAGAGACACATATATAAACAACTTAGGAATTGGGACCATAACATCGATTCAGGTTGATACATCGTCCATATCATACCGCAAGCTGTTTACTTACGCCTGTTACCCCTCATTGAGCACAGGCTGCCGACCAAGATTCCCCAACTAACTAGTTTTTTCCTGTTACTATTCATTCTTTGATGTCTGCCTCCAAGCTGTAGTCAGGGTAAAAGGATTACTGTAAGTGAAGACAACTTAAATAGCAGTAGGACCTGAAAAATCCGTTCAGATGAATGTTATAAGGTAAGTCGTAATAAGCTACCTACCAATTATAATAAGATAAATGTATCTACACTGACACTTGTAGTCTTAAAGCACTACATAGAAGACTGTCCTCATTAAATAAAAAAGATTGAGATCGATGTCATAGTTACTTTATTTTAACACTCTATTAACCTTTCTTCGTGTTGTTAAGAATAATGAAATGATTAGGTAATACTTTTGTGCCATACTCTCACATTGCCCCAACTAACTGATTATTCTACAACTGCGTGCATCTTCAGCTCATACTGGTAGTCGGTTCACGTACGTAGCAATTTCTCAGAGAATTTGAAAATACAGTTGTCACATCAATTTTTAAAGTTTGTTTCTGCTAAAAACTTTATTTTTGTCTAACCACTCTTGTTCATTGTGATAAATAAGTCAATTTGTGACAATCTATTGATTTTAATCTTTTTTTTCACAGGTGAATTCTTTTGAACAGCTATGCATCAATTATACGAATGAGAAACTCCAACAACTTTTTAACCATACAATGTTTATCTTAGAACAAGATGAGTATACTCGTGAAGGCATACCATGGGAATTTATAGACTTTGGACTTGATTTGCAACCGACAATCGATCTAATTGAACGAGTAAGTTGAACAATTCAAATTACCCAGACAGTTCGCGGTAATTGATTTTGTACCGGTAACTGTTCATTATCGTATGAACTTTTTGCACCATAAATCTCTGTTCATTCGATTTAACGCATGTTTACGAATCTGAATGGATTTATACCTACTTAACTCCTCATTCCATGGTTGACGCATATATTAAATATCACAATTATTCAACGTTGATAACAAAGAATCAACATAGATTTTTCTGTATATTTTCCTTCTAAAACAAGTACAACCTACTCCATTTAGATTCGATGGGTTACCATAGGTTTTAATTTACATTGGGAATGTGTGAGGAATTTTCACATAAATACTAAAGACTAACAATTGGCAGTTTTCCTTGCTGAAGATATTAAGAATTTTATATGAACTACATAATTATTTGATAATTATAAACATATACAGCAATAGATCGATATAACGCGTTGACTGCTATCTGACTACATAAACTTGAAATTGATCAGTACTTGATGATCAATCAGTTGTAAATATTTCAGTCTTTGATAAGTCTTGCTAATTGAACGCTAGATTTGGTTCCTAAGCTCTTCTAGTAACCCCCAGGTTAGATTAACACAGTGACTTGAACACGAGAAAAGGCGCGAAATATGTAAGAAACTTTACTCTAAAGGTTCGTCTATGTACAGAAAATATAGGGTTTTTATAGTGTTTTAGATGTCCTTGGGTTTCCCGAAAATTCTGGAATGCTACTAAACACAGTAGCAGTATAAGTAATCATCCAATTAGAAACTCTACATGTGACTTTTCACTTTCTTGATATTTCTGGCACAACTTCTAGTGAATGCTGATTGGGTGAGATGCTTATAAGTGTTTTCAGAGCCTTTCTTGGCTTTCTTCTAGGAGCTTACTGGATCTCCCCAACAGTCTCACGAGGTCAGTTTTTGCCTAAGTAACTCAGTAGTGACGTTAGACTGCGAACTGAGTGTTGTGAGTTCGAATTCTACGGAAAGCATCAGTTCCATGAAGATTCTGGGCAATTATTGTTAATGAGTGTCCGTTGGTTTGAAACATAGGTCCAAGGTTTTTGCAAACTAATGGCAACCACTAAACATTTACAGAAATTCATAAATTGTTGCTACTTAAAGTGTTTCAAATTTCTTCCCCGTTTAAGCAGTCATGTTGGCGGGAAATGAGATGCCACTTGTCATTGAATTTGTATGATTGGCTATATTATTTAGATCATTGTACTAAAGCTTTTCCTGACCATAATGCTCTAGATTAAATCTTGTAGGATAAATAATAATAGACAAATGACTTGTTTATATAATTCTCCCATGATTTATTGCTTCAAGATTAGTTTCTGTCCTCTTCCATTTATTTGTTTTTGATGGATTCTTTCTCTTCAACTATGCCTAACAACTGTGAGAAAAATTTTGGCGGACTAATACTTGGTCCCCTTAACTTCTATAGTTCATCAGTATAGGGTCTCAACTATAAGTTAAAGAATGAAAAGAGATCTAGAACATATTCGTAGAAAAAGTCTGAATACTCGGTTTCAAAACGACTCCTATCATAGACTCCTTCGTTTCCATCAAAAAATCCAACTAGAACCTACTGAAAAATCCCTTTTAGTTATCGTTTTTTGACATTTCACTTGTGGTAAGAAAAACTCACATGATCTCAAAAACTGTTATCCCTAATCACCAATTTTCAAGATCACCAAATAATTCCCTAATTGAAATTTCTCATAGAATCACCATCGACAGCGATAATGAACAAAGTCCCCCTTTTGTCTTGACCTACTTTCCCCACTAGTCCCTGTACCAGACAACAAGGTAAAATGAATCAATTCTTTTACTGATAACCATAGCTGGCTAGCTACGCAATTAAATTACCCTGCATTTATACAATACCTAATATAACGACTACTACTTTTGGGATATGCTGAGCCTCTTCTTAAATCCAGATGAGTAAACTTTTATTTATATCTTAACCACAATGATCAGAAGTCCTGTTTCTTTCTAACTTTAGCCTATGGGTATCTTCGCCTTGTTGGATGAAGAATGCTTCTTCCCTAAGGGAACTGACAAGTCGTTTGTTGAAAAACTCATCAAATCTCAGGATAAACATCCAAAACTGTGTAAAACTGAATTTCGATCTAATGCTGATTTCGGTGTTATTCACTATGCTGGTCGAGTTGAATATAATTCAAATCAATGGCTAATGAAAAATATGGATCCTCTCAACGATAATGTGGTCGCACTGCTTCAGGCATCAAATGATCCATTTGTTCAGGTTAGTTTTCGACAGCTCTTTTTAATTACTACCATATTTAAATGGGGTTTGGGTTACGATCTGGTTCCTGAATCCTTTCTAAATTAGTCTTCAAGTATCGAGTTTAAAAATCGTTTCATTTGAATGGTCAAATAGTATTACTACCTCACTACTGTATCCTTCGACAAGTAAGTATATCACTCAGACGATAAAAGTGGCATCTAAGTTTTTGATGCGTAACATTTTGTAGACAGAATATTAAACATACTCGCAAATCGTTTCTTGACTTTTCACCTTTTTCATATTTAATTTCAATTTCTTTACATGTTTTACAAGCATGTAAACGTTTGATATCAGGCAGTTGATTTGAAAATTCGAATTTTTAGTATTAATAGTAGCAAAATACGAATTAAACCAGAGTAAACTGCAAACATCAGTTAGTTTGCAAAATGATCTCTAAATTAAGTGCTTCTTTTAAACTTTTGCTTAATATTGTGTGTTTTAATACAATAAATCTGTAACAAATCAGCGGAGATATGAGCTTTATTACACTCGTGGAGACTGAATTTTTAAGTGATCACAGTAAATAAAATCGATATGAGTTTCGATAAATTTTTATTGATACTAGTTGGGTCGTTTTTCAATGAGTTCTTCCTGCTTGATTATATCACTGATCATGTAAATTAGACAACAACTGTTTTTAAAGTCTTGTGATTTTTATCTTGGTTAATCGATCTAATTCTAGGTCGAATTCAAAATTTTGTCCATATGCTGTCATAAGCTGTCTCAACAGCATTTGTAACCTTTCTGTAAATCGCTTTACAGTAGGATTTCGGTTGTTATTATTCATATGTCTTATTTTTTGTCAGGCTATGTGGAAAGATGCCGAAATTGTAAGCATGTCAGCCACTACTACGACCGACACCGCTTTCGGTTCTGCTCGTAGTGTTAGAAGGGGAATGTTCCGTACTGTAAGTCAACTCTACAAAGATTCACTTATACGTTTGATGACTGTATTGAAAAATACGTCTCCAAACTTTGTCCGTTGTATCATTCCAAATCATGAAAAAAAGCCAGGGCGAATTGATGGTCCTTTAGTTTTGGAACAACTTAGATGTAATGGTGTGCTGGAGGGCATAAGGATTTGTCGTCGTGGTTTCCCCTCGCGTATCCTCTTCCAGGAATTCAGGCAAAGATATGAAATTTTAACTCCAAATGTTATCCCAAAGGTCAGTACTATTTTAGCTAAATATCATATTTTCTGTTGTCAGTAAGTTTTTTTATTTATTTTCTATCAGTTGTTCAAAAGCCCGTCAGTTTTTTGATCATTTCTAGTTTCGTTTGGAATGCCAGTTTCAGTAATTAAGAATAGTTTTTCAACTGGATAAAAGAAATGCGTCCTATTTCGTGACTAAAAATCCACTTTTATGTACAAACAATTTGTGGTTTGTAACACTGCTTTTTTAAGTCAAGAAGTATTCCCCATTTGTACAAATCATACAAAGACGTCACATATTTCTAAACAATCTATTCATAAGTCTAATTTATCTTTTAATTTTAATGCAGTATTAGGATTAATTTAGTATTCTGTATATTAAGTCAGTTTGTACACTGCTCACTCTGTATTCCAACTTTTTATAGATCTTATATAAACCAAGCTTCTGCTGTCTAATTTGCTTTCATTATTGTTGGTTAAGCAGTCATTAGTGCTTAAGCTATCCTTCTTAACCTATTTTCTTGTATGTACTAACCAATGCCAATATGCATGATTAAGTGTAGGTTTTTGTTAAAATATTCATTTGGTTTCTGAAAATTGAAAAATTAAGCTTCATTTAAATATTGTGTGATGTCTTACTATATACACACACGCCTTCGTAAGGAAATTATTTTTCTGCACTTCACATCACATTCACGGATTTAAAAATCCTTGTTATTTCGAACTGAAAAATTAAATACTCTTAGCATGTCAAATGAAGTGATCATGGATGAAACGATCATTAAGACACTCAACTTTCAATCAGTAGGCTATGACTTTGAATACCGTCCCATGCGCTTCGTTTTGGGTTGCCAGTTAGTGTCAATAGCTTCCACAAAAAGTTGTCTCAAAACTAATTTTACAAAATCTTGCTTGATAAATGAATTAATGTTTCTTGAAAACTTGATAAATTCACGTTACATTTTAAAATAAAATGGCCTTTCTTTATCCAATCCCAGGGATTTATGGATGGTCGTAAAGCCGTTACTGAGATGTTGAAGGCTCTCGACTTAAGTCAAGACGTCTACTGCATTGGTCATAGTAAAATATTTTTCAAAGTTGGTGTTCTGGCTCAGTTAGAAGAAGACCGTGATATACACTTGACTAACTCAATCATTAAATTCCAAGCATATGCTCGTGGTTATCTAGCCCGACGGTAAGTTTGTTAATTGATCACTTTGCTAGTTTATGTTTTTCGTCATGTCTTACGATTTTAAGCTAATATCCTTTCGTTGTTTGATCATTGATTCCGTTTCTGTGCGTCGAATAAGTTTTATCTTTGCTCTTTGGACACAGCAGACCTTAGGTTTCTTATTTTGTAGGCACTAGTATGAATCTGGGACTTTAACTGTCTAAACAGTTTTTAATCGAACTTGAAGCAATCAAAAACTATCATTCTTCTGATGTTGAAACTTTCATCAAAATCCGCAGTGCAATATTTCATTGTATATATATCTATACATTTCTGTATAAACAGAAAGTACAATTGTCTGTTTCAAATGTTTCATCTAGTCTCTTTTGGTATCTGTTATTAACGCTCTCCGTATATATCTAACTAGTTTATATTCTTTATGGGTATCGTTTTTTCTGTTTTCTACAGAGCTAAGGAACAACGCATACAAAACATTCAAGCTAGCAAAATAATCCAAAGGAATTGTGATGCTTACCTTAAACTGAGAAATTGGCCCTGGTGGCGTTTGTTTACAAAAGTTAGACCACTTCTTACTGTTACTCGCCAAGAAGATTTGGTCGCTGTTAAAGAAGAAGAGCTTCGGAAGGTTAGTGTGAATATCATTTTGGATACAAGCTTATAGTTTCGTTTTAAAAGTAATGATGTATAGTCGTTTTTAAATTCCATCACATCTTATTTCAACCTTGAAGTCCTAATAAAATCCAATTATGTATCTGTTTCCAGTCAGTCATACCAACGAAATAACCTGGCACAGATATTCATCAGTTCAAGTTTCTACACTAAGTAAGGATTGCAAGGTGATATGACAATATAAATACCGAAGTGGTAATATTAATTATGGTAAAAAATATTCAAGAAGAAAAAATAAATTCTCGAAGTACAAAGTATTTTTTTGTATTTGCCCTTCACAACTGTGTTTCATACTCCAGTTCATAAATGTATGAAATTCCTATAAACCTGTCCTCTTCGTACTATCTTCAGACTATACAGTCATTACTTTATTAGATCGGAGTTAGTATTCCCTCCATCAACCTTTTATGATCGTCAGATGCTGAGGTAGTCTTTCATAATTTGTTTTAAGATTAAGTGAATTAAATGTCCTATTACTAAGCTTGTTAATCAATATCTAACTGGCTTATTTCGGAAAAGAATATGACAATATGTGACCAGGTTCATTTTGTACAATCAATCATATTTATTTACCTAATATTTTATCGATTCTAATAGAAATCTCTACATTTATTCTTCTAGGTATCATTGCCAAGGTTTGATTTGATAATTTCAAATAGATTGAGCATTGGGTAGATTGTTATAAATAAATAAATAATATATTTGTAATATCCCAATGAGTAGAAAAATTAGATTTTCTGACGTTTCGTGACTTAGTGCAGGTCACTTCTTCAGAGAATAAATAACCAAATTAATCCAAGTTTAAATAGTACAACGGAACAATAAGAATATGTGATCAATCAAAAACAGGTCTGAACAAGTTAATGCCCTGTCATTTCGTTGTTGCTACCTTGACGTGTTGGTCGCTCTTGCCTATCATGATGAAGCAACCGAGCTATACTGGCTGGAACAACCGTTCCTCAAGGTCCTACCATGTCAGACAGGTCGGTTGAAGAGTGGTAAGACTAAAAGCAAAAAACCCAAGGTCCGAAGGCGAAGTCGTATTGCTGACTGTACAGAAGTGTGACGGCAGTAAGGTGTTTCCTTCAGAAAACCAGCATGGCAGCGATGCTGCCTTCCCACAAGGAATTTGTAAGATGATAGTGTGGATTATAAATAAGATCAGACTGAATGGCTAAGATAGATAGTCTAAGTAGTATTTATGGTAAGGCCTTCTTTTCTATTGAGAGAAGTAGGATTAAGCATTATATGGAACGCTTCAGCTACTCTCCTTTCTTTTTAATTGGAAAAGCCTTTTTGCAACATTTTGATATTTTTAAAATCAATTTGGTGGTCGTTGAAAATGGCATGAACTGCTATTGCCGATTTAATTTGAAGTCTATCCAGTTCTACGGGATTGTTAGGAGGTTTCTTTGTGTACCTAATATGTTCTTTGGCTCTAGTCAAGGTTCCTCTCCAATATAGAAGACATCACAATCGATACAACCTAATTTGTAGGCGCAGTTCTGTGTGGACATGAAAGGAGTTTTTTCTTTTAAGCGAGCTAAAGTATTTCGAAGTGTGTCCGTTGTTTTGTAATATACTTTAATTCTGTGTTGTTCTAAGATTCTTTGGAGTTCTTCTGACATCTGTCAGAAAGAGTATTGTCGTTCTCTAGTAAACCAATAATGAATTCTAAGCATTCATCAATGGGAATACTGGTGTATAAAGAAAGGACATCAAAGCTTACCATGATCTCATTCTTCTCGATAATTAATTCCGATAATTTTAATTTAAAGTCATATGTATCTTTAATCATATTATGTAAGTTAAGCTGTTGTGATTTTAATATGTTGCTTAGATATTTCGACAACACATATTTTAGTGTGTTGGTAAAGTCGACTATCGGTCTTGGAGGGATATCTGGTTTATGAATTTTCAGTAAACCATAAAACCGTGAAACATTGCATGATTTCGGATGCAGAGCAAACCAAAGCGATACACCAATGACTGGTTTTAGCTCTTTCAAAAGTTGCCTTGTTTCTGATTTGACTTTGCTTTTAATCGTTAGAGAGTTTTTCGGATTAATCTTTTCATATGGTCCTGTTAAGAGATGTTCAAGAGCTTTATTAATATAATCTGTTTCATTCATGACTACTGTTGTGTTACCTTTGTCGGCTTTTGTGATGATAATCGTTTTGTCTTTTTTATTTATTCTCTGAAGAATTGACTTGCACTAAGTCACGAAACGTCAGAAAATCTAATTTTTCTACTCATTGGGATATTACAAATATATTATTGATCTACATTTATTTCTTTGATATTGTTTTATTTTAGATTCGTGAACAAATGGAAAAAGTTGTCAGTGAGCTTAATGAAATGCAGAGATCCTACGAAAAGTTAAGCAATGAGAAAGTCCAGCTAAATGCTGAATTACAACAAGAACACGATTCAAATCAAAATTTACAGACAGTAAGTTTTTGTGTATGCATATCAGATAATATCTTCGATCAAATATCTTTTTATATCATTAGGATGTTTTCGATAATTCACTAAAAGAGACCTTTTCTTTTCTTTGTGGTGTTATGTAGGAGCGTGATCGTCTACGCGAAAAATTACAAACTTTAGAAGAAGACTATATGGAACTTGAGAATAGAGATAGTGAAGAAAAATCAAAATTACATAACCTGGAAGCTGAACAAAAACGTCTGTTAGAACAGGTAAATTCTCATGGATTCTTTTATTCTGATCATCTCTTTGAAATGTATATTCGATAATGGAACGGTTAAAATACTCCACCTTTAATAGCTAGAAACCACCTTCGGTTTGGGCAGTAGTCGGATTGTACTACTAGTCTTTTCACATAAAATTTAGCTTGTAGTTCGATGGTACATGACCCAGTAATTAGTTAATTAATTATGTCGAATTTAGTTAATTAAATTCATATATGTACTGCTTAGATTTTATTATATTCCCTGAGTTATCAGTATTTTTTCGTCACCCGTTTTTGTTATTCGTATATATACGTATTTTCTGGTATGGCTTACGTTCTATCCCCTCATTTTTAAATGTCATGAACTGACATTTCCTCATATATTTGTCAATTTCTTACTAAATTGATTGAGACTTGTCTTCTGTTGTTCATTTTGCACGTTTTCTTCAAGTTGTGTCATTGTAGTAATATTATTTTTGTTTCCGAATCTTAAGCACTCAAACCTGAAGGTTCTTGGTCCGATTTCCTCTGGGGTCGTAGATGCAGAATATTGAGGAATCTAAACCAAGACAAAACATCTGTCCAATGCTTTCTAGTTCTCAGGGCTATATAACTAAGGTTTCAACTTAATTCTCTATAAAGCAATCTCAATCTATCAGAGTTAAATTCACAAAATCACATCTCACTAATGAATTACTTTGTCCCATTCTAGTACCGCTCATTCGCACGTACATATAAGTATTTTTACCATAGTATTTTCAAATTCATTGGTCACTATATTTACTGTTAAACTACCGAAATACATGTGTATAAGATGTTTAGATTCACAGCGATTGTTCAACTATTCTTAATCCACTAAATCAAAAAAGCTTGCCCGTAATTCATGGTCTAAATTTCAAAGTTGTATTCTCATGCATTTTTCGATGTAGTATACTCCTGTATATAATTTTATTTCTATTGTATTATTATTTATTTAATTTTTGATTTGTATTTAACAGATATCAGATTTATCAGATCAGTTAGAATTGGAAGAACAACAACGCCAAAAATTACAAGTTGAAAAGACATCTATCGAACAAAAAGTTTCTCAACTTAACGATGGCTATGTTAGCATTGAAGATAAATATAATAAACTTGTTAAAGACAAAAAGCAGTTGACTGATCGAATAGATTTGTTAACTAGTCAGTTAGCAGAAGAAGAAGAGCGTAGTAAACAATTAACTAAACTTAAAAGTAAATATGAAAGTAACCTTAATGAACTTCAGGATAAACTTGTCCGTGAACAAAAATCTCGTCAAGATATCGAAGTGGCAAAAAGACGACTTGAAACTGAGGCTTCCGAACGTCTAGATCAAGCATCGGAATCGTCAAGGATTGTTGAGGAGCTCCGAGCCACAGTGGCTAAACTTGAGGCAGAAGTTGCTCAATTACAAAATCGATTAGATGAAGAGATTGTTGCCAAAGCTGTGGCACAAAAATCAGTACGAGAATATAAATCACATATTCAAGAACTCAAAGAAGACTTAGAAGCTGAACGAATGGCTCGTGACAAAGCTGATGAAGCTAAAAGAGATCTGACGGAAGAAGTGGAGGCGATGAGATTAGAACTCATTGACAGTGGAACAAACAGCGAGGCACAAACTCAAGCTCTCCGAAAATATGAATCTGATTTATCCAACCTACGTCATCAGCTTGAAGCTCAGTCAAAGTATGTAGTACTGTTTTCAAGCAACATATGCAACCACTTGTGTGTAATGATTAGTTAAAACACTTATACAAGTCGTCTGTAGGACATTGGGGAAAATTCATATCTAAATACTACCTAGTGATAACTAAAAGCATTCCTCAGAACTTGTACTGAGATCGAAAATGTTACGTTCTTCTAAACAGAAGACTGCTGTTAGCTTTACACTTGGATAGGAAAGTATATTGATTTATTGTTTGTTCAGTTAAATATAAAAGATTTAAAAGCATACTTTTTAATAGAATCGTGTTCTATAAAAATCCTACTCACATTAAATTGTAAATAATCGTCAACTATAACTGATTAGTTAACTGGACAGTCAGTAGAAGACTTTGATGTTATGGGTTCAAGTCTTCCATATTAATACTAGGTGTTCATATCTAATGTCTTTATGCAATTATTACGTTGTTTGACCATAATTTCTTCACTGTTTAATGTATACTCCATATTCAGTGACTTTATATTTTGTTCAGTCTGTATATGCATAACTAATAACACGTTTCTTATCCATCTTTATAATACATTTATCTAGTTGTTATTTCAAATCAATGCACATCCTGTTGGCAATAGATCAGTTTTTATAACTTCACTAAATAGGAAAAGATTCAGTCACTTAAATGACACCTTATTAAATGAGCGTAATTTTGTGCAACATATTGAATCACAATTGTTATTCAATCTCTTGTCATAATACTTTATTACCTTAATTTCTTCATTATTTAGTTTTGTTCATTTGTTTCTCATGTAATATATTCATTCAGCGCTCATGAAGCTACTATTCAAGATATGCGCAAATCTCATGCCGCAACTCTAGAAACATTAAACGATCAAATTGAACAACTTAAAAAAAGTAAAGTTTCCTTAGAAAGATCAAAAGTTCAACAAGATTCAACAACTGATGCATTACAGAAACAAATTCAAAGCCTTAAACAAGACAAGTGAGTATATATATATATATATAGTACATAAAAATACCCAATAGTCTGTTGTATTGGTTTTTATCTTTTTTTTGTATGTGTATGTGCCAAAATAAGTCATTCAATATTTTCAAAATGGGGGTTTGTGGAAATTTTAGTAATTTAATGGTTGAATTCATAAGTCGATTTAAGCTAGACCACCATGAAAAACCTGTAAGAACTGGACGGCAGTTCGATCCTAGTATGGGACCCCTCAGCAGCACGCATTCACGATCCCACACACGGGACTCGAACACATACTAGGACTAAAAAGTTCTTCCAGGTTTTCCATGGTGGTCTAGCTTAAATCGACTCAGGAGTTCAACCATAGAATATTTGTCCTACTATGATTAGGTTATGTGAATCACTTATCATTACTGTTATTTTTGCATGTATGACTTTTTTATTCGTCATTTTCTGTAGTTTTCTCATCAATTTTAAATCATTCATTTAAAAGACTTCAATTCATTATGGCATAATTATCACTGACCTTTATGCTTTGATATTTATAATTATGTTATATTTAGTACATCAGGAAGCGAAGTTGTCGTTCATCACTTTCTTTGAAAACTAATATATTAATCATATTAGTTAGTATCAATAATAGTATTCATGACGCAATCTCATCGGTCAAACACATTCATTCACTAGTTCATATTGGCATCGCTCCTAAGGATAGACTTTTATACCTATAGTCAAACATAAATGATATACCTGCATATTTTGGTTTAAAAAACCATACATAGTTTTTGTATATACATGAAATCAGTTCATAAAGTTATTGATTGTTAAAATAAACCAGATTAATCGGTGCAGATTTACCCCGATTGGAGTACATACCATTATCATGACCAATGGTTCAAGACTTTGGTTGACATGTCTCAGAATCAGTCATAATGGTGTAGTGAACGAGGACACAAGTGGGGACGATCGAATCTATTTTAATATAACATTACAGAATATCTTAGTAAAATCTGAAAAGCATACAATAAATACTTCATTTGCAAAATATCAATCAATCGTCTCATACCCCATTGTTCCTTCATTTCCACATCAATCGTTCTCTGTTCTCATTCTCTTTTCTTCGATCTTCATAACCTTCTGTCTCCAGGCATTTCACTTTCGATTGGTAATACATACTACTTATATCTGTCGACGTCAGTAGCACACCACATTGGTACTGAGGTATTCACTCTTTGTTTTCGTTGTGACTTACGTCTTAGAGTCGTTTTGTACTTTTAATTCTACGAGTTCATTTTTTTATCAAATCCTGTTTTTTTCTAACTTATTATATTATTATATATTATTACTAACAATACTATTAATCTTATCATCTGAATTTTTTTATCTTTATGTGCTTACATGGTGTGAAAAATTGGGCCAATCCATATATATTCCCAGATTTTATGATACCTATGACTAGTTGATAAACCCCTTTAGTCTCCAGAAATTAACTATTTTTCCCTGATTGTAATTCATTAAATTTGGATGACAGGAATCCATATTTAAGTTTATCAGCGGCAGAAAAACTTAAGCTCTCATGGTAATCTAATTTTTTTAGTTTTAATTAATTCAATTGTGTATACTTTTAGTTCACAAATTTTCCACTGCTTTTCCACTTTACATCACTTTTTATTTCTAGAACGGAAATTGACAAACGTCGTCGTCAAGTTGAACAGCAACTAAATGAAAGTTTAGTAAAAATGCAAGAAACAGAAATGCAACGTAATGATTTAGAGTCCAGACTTACTAAAGCATTGAATGAAATTGAAGGTTTGAATAATGCGATGGAAGAAATCGAAACTAAATTAGGCAAGGTCTCGCGTTCTGAAACCTCTGCACAATCTGAGCTCAATCATTTACGTGCACGTTTGGAAGAAGAAACTCAGGCAAAATTAAGCTTACAGTTACAGTTACGTCAAGTAGAGGATGAAAGAGAAACAGTAAAGGATTCACTGGATGCTGAAGAACAAGCCAAAACTGCCCTAGAGAAACATATTATAGCACTTACTACTCAGGTTGTTACCCTTTTTTTCCATGCGATGTTTTTTTAGAACGGCTTTAAATATATAACTCATGTGTTGATTATAAATCGCTTTATAATCCATTTAATATATAGGATTTATTTTAATTACGGGCATACTTAAAAGAACTCGTGCTATCTTTGGGCATTTTTGCCCATGAAATGGAGAACATGTACTTCATTCAGAAAAAATCAGTGGAACAAGCTAATTTTTAGGGACAGGTTTGCCGACTCAATTATGCTTATTTTTTCTGTGTAATTTTACTCATTTGGTTGGTACGTCTTGATAGTGATAATATTTAAGGCATATTGAGCTATTAGTAAGTACTGCAGTTCACTAGTATTGATCAAATTGAAATGGATTTTATTGTAAATTTTCTATTTAACTTGGAAAATATCTCATCCTATGTCACAGGTTACAATACCTAAGTTCATACTATTTGTCCTCTTTTCTTATTCCTATCTCATATCCTTTACTTACTCAATTAATCTCCATATTGTTTTACTAAAATTTCATTCGCTATATGAGATTTTTTTAAATTTATAGATGCAAGATGCAAAGAAAAAAGTGGAGGAAGATACACATTACTTGGAAACCTTGGAAGATGCACGTAAAAAACTTCAACGCGAATTGGATGATACCCGGAATCGTAATGAAGAACTTGTTTCACAAGTTGAAAAGTTAGAAAAGTCACGGAAGAAATTACAAAGTGAAGTAAGCTGTTATTTTACTTCCCAACTCTAGCAACAATTGATCTGGTTTCAACTATACAGTTTATGGTGATAAGTTTAATTTCAACCAGTAGTGTTCTATTTACATAAGTGTCGTAACTTACAGCTTAGGTGATGTTGAATAGCGTTATTCTTATCTACATTACTATAATTAGTATGTGAATATGCAAGGTGTACATTTCATGCTAATAGTATGTTACATAACCTGATGGACTGGAAAAACGAACATTCATTGCTCCCACTATATTTGGAAATCTTATTTTTGTTCAGAATCCCTTCAAATTTTTGAACAAACTGATCTAAAATTATTTATCCTACTACCGACCAACCAAGCTACAAAAACTAACTGCCTTAGTTTTATTTTATTTGTCAAGTATTATATACATAAGTCGTTGATGCATTTTTTATTCCTTCACTGACCGCCCAGTCAGATCTCTAAGCCGATAAGTTCAATATCTTTTATTGATCTAACGATTAGAAATGGCTTCACTTTTTTCGTCAGTAGTCTTGCTAGCTAACTAACTATATTAGACAATACTTTCAAACATTTTTATTAGTTTTTGTTAATTCCCATCGATTATGTAGAGTATCAATAAAAGAAAGTCATCGGTAAATCAAAATCAGCGAAATATTGTCTGCTTGTAGTTTAATTTGCAACTGATTTTGAAAAAAAAACAAGTCTTTCATTATGGCCTTTTTCGCATCAAATTATGATTCTAAACTGAATCTTTCTATTATAAGCAAATACTTTTTTTACTCTTTGCTTAGTTATGATTATTATATTAATCTTTTTTTCAGCTTGAAGATATGAATCATGTCATGGCTAGTCAACGATCTGATCAAGCTAATAATGAACGTCGAATCAAGAAATTAGAATCAACTCATGCAGAAACTGTTAATCAACTTAATAGTTTTCAGGCTCAAAAAGATGCATTTTATCAAGAAATGCTTGAAAAAGACACAAAATTATTCACACAAAAGAATGAAATGGAAAAGCTTAAAGAACAGCTAGAAGAGTCAGAACGCCAGCGTTCATTACTCGCTCGTGAATTAGAAGAACTTGGTTCTCATGGGGATGATGCTGGTAAGAGTTTAGTAGGGTTGGAACAAACGAACTATCGTCTAAATGAACGATTAAAAGAAACTCAACAACAAATAGAAGAACTAGAAGATGAGATTTCGACATTTACCATGGAGAAACAACGTGCAGAGGTTAGTTGATTCAATCAATGTTTTCACCTTTTCCATAGCATTAAATATATGTATATTGTTTCATAATGAGGAACTTCGTTTATTTTTCATTCGATAGGTTCAAATGAATGCTGTTCGCACTCAACTAGAACGAGAATTGGCGTCTCGCGATGACTTGCTCGAAGAACAAAGACGTCAATCTCTTAAACGTATAAGAGAACTTGAAACTGAATTAGAAGAAGAACAAAGAGAACGTGCTAGTCATCTTAATGTTCGCAAAAAATTGGAAACTGATCTTGCAGATATTAGTCAACGTTTTGAATTAGCGAATCGACAAAAAGAAGAAGCTGTAAAACAATTGAAAAAATACCAAGGTGTTACTGGTGGCATTCAGCGTGAACTTGAAGATGCTGCCCGTGCTCGTGATCAAGCTATAGATTCTGCACGAGAATTGGACAAGAAATATCGTATGCTGGATGCAGATAAAGCTCGACTTCAAGAAGATTTAGGTGTAAGTGAAAGAACTTGTCGTAATCTAAAGAGTGATTTAAATGAAGCTTTGGAGGAGTTATCTATTGCAAATAATGCCAAGTAAGTTGCTTATTTGTTCCAATATTATCAATTTTATGTGTTGATTTTTATTTTATACTACGGCTAAAATCAATTACCTCATATATTCTTTAGAACTTTAGCACTGGAAGAAAAGAAGCGTTTAGAAGCTCGTATTACTGCTTTAGAGGATCAACTGGAAGAAATACAAAGTGCCATGGATGCTACAGAAGAGCGCCACAAACGAGTCTACTGTCAAATGGAACAAGCTCAGACAGATTTAAGCGTCGAGAAGAATAACTTCCTACGTTCAGAGTGTCAGAGAGTCTCTCTTGAAAAACAGGTACGTTCTTTAAAGTTGTTAATTGTTATATCACATTCAACAAACTAATTTTTGACTTCCCACAATTATGGTTTCATTTCTTGTTCGCCTATGGAATTTTAGGTGAAAGAATTACGCGATAGGCTAGTTGAAGCTGAAAAAGAAGGAGGTCGTCGTGGTAAAGCTCAAATTGCAACATTAGAAGCTCGTTTGACAACCTTAGATGAGCAACTAGAAGCAGAAAAACTAGAGAAGTTAAATGCAAATAAAAATTTCCGCAGAGCTGAAAAGAAATGCAAAGATTTAATCCTCCAAGTTAGTGGTTTTTTCTTTACTTTTCTTATTTTATTACCGGTATTCATCTTAAAAACTTATGAGACTACATCTTAGTTATTTCATTTCAACATTTATCACATTCTAATGCGTATATATATGTAACTTGTGAATCTATGCAGTAAATTACTAGTCCATTTGTCAGAACGCTACTTAATATTTGATTCATAGAAGCTTTTCTCATTTATATTTACTTGGATGATTATTTATCAAATGAAATGTACTAGTTACTTCCATTCCACCCCATTATTTAAAACAACTTCCTTTATGTCATGCCTTGAGCAAATAATCCTCCTTCGATGATGAAATCTACAAGTCATCTGTTGAAGATACTATGGATTCATCGTTACGATTTTTACTAATAGATGTCTTCCTATATAAATTATAAGGTACATCTAGCAGAGTAATTTATTTATGCATTTAAACACAAACGTTGGTACAAGGATGCACCAATTACATATTTGTTACACAAATCATTCGATATTTATGAGAGCTGAAATACTGTCCAGGCGCCCAAAATAAAGCAGGTGGTTTTCTTAGGTGGTCACTCCCCGAGCCTTTGACCTAGAGGTCTAATTCATAAGGCGGCGGAGCAGCGTTAGGAGGCGATCCCATAGTAGCCGGTGATCGACAATAGGTTCATGCACCATTTGTTCTCTCAGGATCCTAGAGCCCATATGACCACTGTTTTGGAATCAGGGTTTTATGGATTCTTCATATCCACCAACCCGGTTAAAGCACCGGACATTCGATCCTCTCAATTTAGTAAACAACACTCCGCCTGTTAGCGACTGTATTCGCGTGGCCATATGATAGCATTTCGGGAAAGAGAGCGGAATCTCCCCACCCTCTACTGTCCCAGAGCATTTGGGGGAAAGTGGAGAATAACATCAATTTGTTCTTTTCTATATTAATCATATGTTAACTACACTTATCCTTACCATATTGCAAATAGGTTATTGTCATTCATATATGAATTAAACCTAACAGTTGATGTGTAAAATTTAAAAGTAACAATTACCAAAGAAATCTAAATGCTGACGATATTTTGAAACATCAATTGTTTAGCTTTAAATATCAGTGTAGGTGTTCATCTTAATTAGGTTATGTGTACACTCAATTCACCGTAATGATAATGATAACCGCATTGTTTAGTAAATATCAGTATTCAGTCGATATTTGAAATTACTATTGATTTTGTGTTGTTTTAACTAGAATATGTTTATCACTTTACCTTAATTAATTAATTAATCATTTTTATGATTGTTATTTATTACTTCTATATATGTATGTAATATTTTCCGGTAAATGTTGTCTGACTTATCAAACTGCATAGAATGATGATTTGAGACGATGTGCAGAAGCATTGAAGGAATCTTTTGAAAAAGCTCAATCTTCATGTAAACAAAATAAACGAGAAATAGCAGGTCTTGAAGAAGAGAACGCCAGAATCAATGCAAGATGTCGCCGCCTCCAAAGAGATTTGGAAGAAGTAATGGAAGCTAAACGAACCATTGAACGAGATCTACAAAATCTTCGTAAACTTAGTCGGTACGTCTGTTATATTTTTAAGTATATTTATTTTAACAGTTTACTCAATGTGACCCCAAGTAATAAAAGCAGAAGAGGGTAAAATTTTAAGATAACGTTTTATAATAATAATACAGTAAATGTAGATTGACTTAATTGACAAGTAGAAACGAGTTCATCATCAAGTTGAGTGGGTTTTTTGCCAATTTAAATATAGAGAAAAATTTCGCAGCTACACAAACGTTATATGTGAATAATAATATTTTTTTGTTGGTTGAAAAGAAGTGATAATCTGGAGGGGCGTAAACAACTGATCGTTGACAGTAATAAGAAAACACTATCGCATCAAGAAGAAATAGATATTGGCTCTGGTATGCTTTATGTTTATTCAAATGGAAGAATGAAATTGTACACCATTTAAGCAATGTACATACCTTGTTGTATTTGTTTTTGTATTGTACTCGTAGTAAACAATTTTTCATCTAATAGCATGAAAAGAAACATGTACTCTAAAAGTATATAAACTTATTCGAATAGTTGATGTGCTTCTAACAGAAAATAAAGTATAGATTATCTACTGTCAGGCTTTCAATAATTAAAATAAGAAACATTGGTTTCATAGAAGAGTTCTCTTTTCAGCAAATTCATTTTCAAAGCTGTGCAATCGCAAATATATAGTAGTTTTATTGTTGAGGGCTTGAATACTCGTCATGACGATAGATAGGAAATGTTCAAACCCTTAACAATAAATCTATTATTATTTTCCATGATAAAAACAATGGTCTAATACATTTGCTTATTCTACCTCGCTATTATCATGTTTAACAGAATTTTATTATCACTATCATTGTAATTGTTTTCATCTTGAAAAGTAAGTATATATTTGCGATTGCACAGCTTTGAAAATGAATTTGCTGAAAAGAGAACTCTGCTCTGAACCAATCTTCAACAGGTATATTCTGTTTACTTTCAATAGGTATCTCAGAAGAAATAAACGACATACACCAGAATAGGTGGGAATGGGCGAATAATTAAAAATATTTGTAAAAGATATACAGATAGATAATGGGCAGCACCAGTAACTGAATATTATAACGGAAAATATAATTATCATTATTCTCACTGTTTGTGTATACTGCAAATAGTGACGTTATAAATTAAAAAGTATGTAATCGTAGTGAAAAGACCCTGACGATTTTTATTCATCATCGAAAGGATGTGAACCGTTTGGAGATAATATAACAGTGTCGGGTATGAAAAACTCGTAGACACCAAATGGCCTGTTAAAAAAAGTCTTATTTCAAAAACAAAAATGAAACAACACATAACTGCGAGAACAATTATGGTGAATTACAATACCCGACAGTGATGATGGTCCTGATCAAAGCCGCGAGAAGCATATAAAATATAATTTTTCGTGAACACAACTGTTTTCCGGTTTACTCTTTCCTTATCATCTAGTTTGATGCATACACATTTTTAGTGCTTGTTATATGGAAAAAGTACAAGCAAAACATTTTTGAAGAAAAAACTGAATTCACCTAATTTGTGTTTTTGCGCTAGAAAAATTGGAAGGGAAAGGGGGTCGGTGTGATAGAGAGAAAAAAAGCATTATTTTAGCACTACACCCCAATCAGTGTGAAAGGCGTATGCATATGTGTAGTTAAACTTACCGAATTTCATCCCTTTCGAGAACTAATAGTGATTATGTTGTATGGTTGTTCATAGGATTTTTTCCGGCGGTACCAACACATTCTCTCTGTCCTTTCTTACTACTGCATACACATACATAAATAGCATCCTATTAAAGTTTCTTCCGGTCATCAAGACTAACTGATTTGATATGTTTTTTATTACCGGTGTGTTGTGTATTTCTGTTTAAAATCCTGTATGATTTTTTTACTTTTCTCTGGTGACTGATATTCCCTTTCTTTGTGTACTTCTCACATAGAGAAACGTTTTGCATGGAATAATTATATTTTCTCCCTCTCTTTGCGTATGTGTAGTTTACAAATTATTCGTTATCAACGTAACAAATTGTGTATTTGAATTTTTTCAGTGTTCTAGTGTTGTGGTTTCATGTTTTATTTGACTGACAAATATCAAAATTATTTTTTTTAATTATCATCATTATATTCTTCTTTTCACCTATTATTAGAAGTACGACTCGTCCAAATCGTCAATTGCCGGCAGTACTTTCAACACTTTCACCTGATGTTACAGTAGATGAACATAATTCAGTGAATGAATTGGATTCTATGACTAGTGATTTTGGAAGCAGTGGATCCGTTGCTACTCACAACAATAATAATAATAATGCTTCTACGCCTTCAGCTAATGAAAATTGAATTTTTTTCTATTATCTACAAACTATTATTGTTATTATCACAAAATATCACTGGGAAAGTCTTGTTTTACTTTCCTATTTTTAACCTATTTTGGGCAACTCATAGTACACAAATATGCTGTTACACAATTTGCACGAACAGCTATACACTTTATCTATGGTATACTACTATTATGGCTGGTGTGTTATTTTTCTCATCACTACATCACAATTTCCAAATCCAACCTGAGTTTACTCCGCGTACATATATATACGTTAATGTGTATGGCGGTTGTTCCAATCCTCTATTAACTAACATTACAAGTATTATTATCTTGATAATCATGGTTGCTTTATGTATCGGAAGAATTTTCATTCCTTTACACTAAGGTGCGTCTCTAAAACTTCGAACCTTGGTGTTTTCAAACCTCCGATTTTTTTAACAAAATAGAAATAAACTTTTTCTAACTTTGTTGGTTTTTTGATGATTCTGATTGGATTTTTATAAAAAAATTTTGCCCTTTGCTCCATTTGTAAATCAATGTTAAAACTAACAACATATTTGTTATTGCTTGTTTAATTATGATATATATTTCAGCCATTATCAGCAGTCAAATACATCATTCTAAATATGGCACTTATTACTTTTCTTAAGATCTGTTCTTTCCTTTTTGTTCTATAAATATTGCGTCCAACCGTCAACAGTTAGAATTGTTGAAATTTATGCTATCTGCCTGCCTTCTCTGCAAACAAAACTAATTTAAAATTGATATGATGTTTTCTATCTTGAGATGCGTTTTTTTTTAAAAATTATACTTGCACAACCTATAGTTCTTTTCTGTCTTCGACCTTCGATTTCAATCTAAACGTTATCTTTAGCTCAGATTTATTGGTTTCCCTTCTGACCACAGAATAAGCAATGCTTGGGTTATGAATAAAGTACTAGGTAAATATGGCAAGTCGATTGATTAAGTAGTGAACCTTCATCAAGTGAGGTGTATGGGACATATCACTTATGCCTATCCACTACCTTTCTAGACGCGCAGTGTCTGATGTAAGAGTAGGCTATAAGAAAGGTAGGGGCGGCCAAATTAAGACAACATCCGTTCATGAAATCATCGAAAGTTGAAGTGAGCCATGTTAATAGGTGTAAACTACCTGGTTGAGGTCTGCGTGATTATCGTATCCTATGGTTACAGACCTTAAATGACATGGCCCAAAGTAGTTTGAATCCTAAATGCCTGATTTGTTCCATTGCCATTCATACTGTTACTACCTCTACTGTTGTGGGATTTCGCTTGACAGTTTCATCTTTGTGCTAATAGAGTATGACAGGTTGAATCGATGTACATACAGGTTCTATATTGTGACTCTGGTTTTCCTTCTGATTCGTTACCGTCAGTTGTTTTATTTGAATAAATCGGTGTGTATAATACTGGTTACAATGTGTACAATTCACCATTCGATTCATGTATTTTGTAGAACAGTGGATACTATTATTGCATATTTTTTAATCCATATGAGGTAATTACATCTTAAGATACAATCCATATCTTCATAGATATTTTAGTGTGCATTTAGAAACATCAGTCCTATAACTTATCCTTCAGTGCCTTAACTGCAATTCATCCTTGTTTTTTTAAATGGTCCTCTCAAACAAGTGTCGCTGTATTCGATTATTCTGTCGTTCATTCCAACCATCTTAACAACTTTTAAGGTAGTATGATACTTCTCACATGTTAATCTGTTTGGATTATAGACATACATACTCAAGCACAAATCGAAACGTCTGAATTAATGATTATTATCCTATTATACGAGTAGTGTACAGCTATTCATCTTGTTGTGGATGTTTTTCACACCAATTCACAATTCTCTAGCATACAGATAATAATTGTTTACAATTCAAGTAACTGACTCAGCATTCCACTAGACAAGATTTACGTAGGTAGCTTAGTGAGAATTCAATCGATAAAGCGAGCTACTGAGTTTGTAAGTATATAATATTGAGTCACATGTGCACCAAAATGTTCTGTAAAGTATATTTTGATAGTATATGCATTTTATATTTTCCATTCAGGAAAAAACGCAGATTTATATGGTATATTCAATTTAAAATGTAATCTAAAAGTCTATTTAATTATTCAGTGCACGTTATTCTGACTAGCTTTTCATTTTGGAAGTATGGATAAATGTTAATTTGAGCATACAGTTATAGAAATGACAAAAATGAGTTAACGGCTCGATGTAAACCGTTAAACATGCAACAGGAATCAACCTTGGGTATTCACTCACTACACCAGAAAGAAGAGTAGCACTGATTAGACTTTAGACTCTTCATCTCTATTTTGTATCTATCAGTATAGGGTTGTGGAGATTATTAAGTTTTTTTGAGACCATCAACTGATCAACCTTAGACCATTGAAAAACAGGGATCACTACGGCCGTTTTGTTCTGGTATGGAACTACCCAGCGGTGCGCATCCACTACCCCCCACATGGGACTCGGACCTAGGGTCTTACCGAGGTTTCTGTGCAGGCTAACTGTGTCTTTCGAAGTTTCTTACTTGAATTAAGCTAAATTCTAGAAACTAATCACATTTTTTACTAACTTAAGTAATGGCCTCATTCTGATCTTGATAAATGTGACCTACGTTCTGAAAATAGTAGTGATCAAATGTCATACTTATAGATGAAGCTGTGGTTTTGATATCTCACGTTATGCTAATTAGTCGAGATTTACACATTGTCTACACTCAAGAAGCCAGGTATCCATATGAGTGAAGTAGTTGTTATAATTTACCTGTTCATTATAAAAAGAAACATAACCTCCTAGGAACTTTTTTCAAATCTCCATTAATGGTACTGCTTGTATTGTCGACAAAACAAATTACCAACGGTTGTAACTGATATAATGGGACGAGTAGTGTGAACGTGTAACTTGTAAGACTGTCAGACGAAAGACTGTTACACGTATTTTTATTGTGTAATTTGTATCTAATTTTTCCTTTGACCCATAAATCATCATGTAGGTAATTATTTCTCTATTACTACGGCTTTTTATCACTTATGACTAAGGTACGTACATATTGTGATTTTCTAACCTTGTTGGTGTATGATCATTCATTCAGGTATATTATTGTGTGTTTTCAGTCATGAAGAAGAGTAGATTAGATAGCTGATCTGCTTTCTGTGATTATCTGATGATTGAATATTTGGTTGGAAGGAGCAGCTCGAGAATAAATAAGCATCGAGGCCTCGGTGGCTATTCATTGGTTGATGTCTTTCATCGTTCTTCTGAACGACATCATCAGCACAAATTGGTTGATGTCATCTGGTAAATAGGTCGCTGGTCGTACTGGTAATATAGGTGATCCAATTAATAGTCAAACTAAAGAGAGAGGAAATACAACGGCCATTGCAATTACGACTTGATCATACGAGCTCCAATATAATCCAAGGAATCCGTTTCTCTATTTTTCCGTTGCATCAATAATTCTTACAGGTACATAACTATTCAGTCTAATTATATAGTAGCATCGGTAACATTAACCAAATTGTCTCCTAATACAAGGCTACTGTAAACGCTTGAATTTAATATGACTGTCGATCAAACATTCAATATTCACATTACAGATGTTATGATGTGCGAGTGATTGAAGTTGAAAAGAGACACAAAGGTATATATATATATATATCATAATTACGAGTATAGTGTGCTGAAATATTGGTTACACAATTCAAACATGTTACTGATCTAACAAACTGGTGTAACTGGCTTAATCTAAAACCCTTAGGTCTTATTGTACTGTTAACTCTCACATAATCTATTGTCTTAATATTATATCATTAATAACAACCGTAATATATCGTATTGGGAATACTACCTAACCCAAAACTTAAGTTTTAAAGCTTCGTGCCAATTACTTTGAATCACTCAAAATCAGTCAATTTTCTTAGTATAGTAAAACATTATAAGCAACCTGTTTTGATCAGTACCAACATCAGATTTTGCGTTTATGACTTAGCTTTCTATTTAATCATTAAGTTTTCATTATCAATTTTCTTATTTGGTAGTTTTTACCCAGTCGGTCAGTCAGTCAGCTACAACGTAGGACCAGGCACATGTATGCATCGGTCCAGGTTGCCATACCTCATTAGCACAGCAAGATGAACACCGGATTCATAGGAGTGGTTAGGTCAAAGGTGGTAATATATAGGAGAAAGATTGCAATAAGGATATAGTATAGGAAGAAAGAATTAGTTCGTAGAAAGAAAGATGTGAAGTGATCTTAATCTCTTAGTTTAAGAGAAGACAGAGAGTGTATACACCGACGCCATTGTGATCGATTCTGAGCCATGTCACCAAGGGTCTCCAACCATTGGTTACGAAAGTCACGCGGACCCCAACCAAGTAGTCTGCATCTACCAACATGGCTCAGACTAGAAGTTAGTGACTTCAGGCACTGATGCCACGTTTTGGTTTGGCCGCCCCTAACTTTCTTCCAACCATCCCCTACACCGGTTAGCATTGCACGTCGTGGTAATCGGTGTTCAGGCATACGTAACACGTGGCCCAACCATCTCAGTCGATGAAGATTCATAACCTCATCAACTGATTTACCATCATTCCCTAATACCCTGCGTCTAACCTCACTATTACTTACCCGGTGATCCCAGCAGATGCCAGCAATATTTCTAAGGCATCTGTGGTCAAATACTAGTAGCTTACGGGTGTCTTCTACTCTTAAGGGCCATGTTTCGCTGCCGTAAATTAAAACAGAACGGACTGCCGCGCAGTATACTCGTCCTTTTATTGATAGACGGATATCTCGCCTCCGCCAAAGGTGACGTAAGTTGGCAAAAGCCAAACGAGCTTTACGAATCCGTGCTGAGATTTCGTCAGACACCAACCCATTAGGGCTGATCAGACTTCCAAGATAAGTGAAGTTGTCAACGCATTCGACTACTTCACTCCCTATCCTTAGTTCAGGTGTTGACGCAGACCAGTCCTGAAGCAACAACTTGCATTTAGAGGGAGAGAAGCGCATCCCAAACATTCTGGCATTGTTGCTTAGTGCTACCAGAAGACTCTGCATTTTGTCAGCGTCTTCACCAAACAGGACTATGTCATCTGCATATTCTAAGTCGATAAGTGGACCTCCTGGAAGGAGATCAATACCCGAGAATTCAGTCGACGAGAGTGTTATTTCCATCAATAGGTCTATGATGAAGTTAAACAAAAATGGAGAAAGTGGGCAGCCTTGACGGACACCACTTGAGGTTGCAAAAGTAGATGACAGTTCGCCATAAGCCCTGACTCGACTAGTAGTGTTCGAGTAAAGAGCCTTCACAAGGTTTATGTACTTCTGAGGTACGCCTTTCAATGACAGACACTGCCACAGAGTCTCGCGGTCTACAGAGTCAAATGCTGCTTTTAAGTCAAGAAAGACCACCATCGTCGGACGCCGATAGGTATGCCTGTGTTCTAGAACCTGACGAATGGTGAATATGTGGTCGATGCAGCCACGACCAGGTCTAAAGCCAGCTTGGTTCTCTCGTGTTTGTAGTTCACGAGTCTTAGTTAGGCGTTTGATAATTATCGAGGCCAGTATTTTAGATACTATGTTTGTTAAACTAATCCCTCTGTGGTTGTCACAGGATGATTTTGACCCTTTCTTATATATTGGGACGATAAGTGATTGCGACCAGTCAGATGGGATAACGTCTAATTCCCAGATCTTAGCTAAAATATTAGTCAACCTAATCGCTAAAATTGGACCACCATCCTTAAAGACCTCTGGAGCCAATCCATCTGGACCAGCTGCC